CCAGCTAGGAGGGCTGAGGCTTCTTCCTCGTGGGCGTCGGGTCCCGCCAGAGGCCCGATGGTGGGCCTTTGCTCCAGGCCAACTGACGTGGAGCTCGGACCGAAGGTTGTGCTTGCGCTGGCGGCACACCCACTGCAGCAGTGGGCGCCGGTCTCTTGCCAGTCGACAGAGGAGTGGCGGGCCTGTGAGAGCTAGCTGCAGGCTTGGTCTTCGTCTGATGTCTGAAATCGCGCAGAGCTTCTGTCTGCTTCTTCCTCAGATGAAATCTAGTCTGAATGGCTTCAAGTGAATGTCAGAATACCCCAGCCGTAGACACTGGTTTGTCCAGATTTACAGTCATGTCCCTATCTGGGACGTCAGAGAGGGTCAGCCGCAGGTGCCTCTGGACCACAACTGTTGAAGCCAGTGTGTTTGCAGGGGAATGCATCACCTGCCTGACCCAGCTCATTCTGCCTGCAGCCTGAGCATTTGTGACGCACAGAGGATGTAATTCATGGCAACTCTGACCTCGTTAAGAAGAGGTGCCAGCGGACTGTCAACACGAACCAGAGATCCAAGCTCCACCAGGCACATTGGCTGGTACATCTGGAGTGTGGTGACGGAGGTCATGGCAGAGCTGTGCTGGCCTGAGCCCGACAAATCTTCTCCAGGTGCGAAGCAGAGAATCCGCAGTGATTGGACGGCAGAGTTGCACGGCCGCAGACACCATGGTCATGGGACGGGGCCAGATAAGCAGCAGAGACGGCTCCATAGGGGGTCGGTTAGCTAAGCTAGCCTTGTCTGCGCCGTCCAACTCCATGTGCTGTACATAGCTGGGCACAGTGACGGGGGTTGACAGAGGTTTGTCCCATGATGCTGTTAGCTCGCACACAAAGTCTGGAAACATGGGAAGGTGGTTTTTGGCTGTTGCGGGCTCCAGTGGGAAGAAAAAAAACAGCTTCTGAGCTGGTGGAGAAGAGGGCCAGTCCACCTGCAGTTTTTAAGCAGCATGGCAAAACAAAAAAGGGGAAAAAGAGGGGGTGTCAGTGTGGCAGACCGGCGCAGCATTGGCGGCCCATTGGGTCGACAATGAGCTCTCCTGCTCATGGAGCAACCATGGATGTCTAGGCCGATGTCCAGCATGTCGGGCTTCAACCCAGCCTGAACTCCGCCAGCGCTCCTGCATGGTTCCAGCCGGTCATTGGCTAACCCATCAACATATTCCATGTGGTCAGCCCAGCTAATTGCGGGGACAGCGACAGGATAATCCTCGGTCCTGGAAAGGAGAGGGTCATGCCGTGTGACAGCCGAGCGTCCCAGCACTTTTTCCACCCGTCTTTTCAGGGCCTGCTGGCAACAAAACGCACAGGCTTCAGGCTCCGTCAACGCTCACCTAGCGTGGACAATAACCAGGCAGACAAGGCAGGCATCGGGCTGGTCGCTGTCGTGCAAAGAGAAACCGCATCCCTGAGGACAGGGGCGAACAGAAGATTTCTGCTTTGCTCGCTTTGGTTTGGAGTCCATTCCAAAACGCAAAGCAAAAAGCTGCACAGGAAAACTCGAAATTTGCGCTCCGCGGGCAACCTACACACCAACTGCGTGGTGGAGGCTAACACCAACAGGGGCAGTTAAGCTAAATTCAAGTCGGCAGACCCCGGAGCTAACTAGCAGCAGACGGCTAGCCCAACACAGCAGAGGTGTTCTCAGCAAGGTGAAGAGCGTAAGAACTGAGCGATGACTGCGATGACAGCGGTTATATGTGCAGACGGAGCCGTGTGTCATCTGTCTTAAAGCCGTGAATAAAGATTTCTTCAGCCAGGACATGCAAGGGTGTGATATCCCATACCACTGAGTTGTACCGAGGGAATCAACTGAAAGGGAACTTTCTTGCACCTTTGTGCTGTGAAGGCAACTGTACAATGACAATAAATACATTTCTAAGTTCTCAAAGGCCTGTTACAAAAAACAACAAAAACAGTAAGCTACGTTCAAGCCACCATCTTCTACTTTTTGCATTTCCAGTTTTTCTGTCAAATCAATTCTTACAAAATATTCATTTTCGCGAATTTTTGACTTTAATCTTCAAAATTCTGCGTTTTCTTGTTTGTCTTCAGGCTCCGGCGGCATTTCTTTAACCTTGAATGGCACATTTCATTCAGCGACATCTTTTCTTTTTCCTCAGTTTTCCAGTTCAGAAACAGCCATTCTGACTTCTCTGAAACACCCAACCCTACTTCTTACAATATTGCTTGAGTAAACTTCCTGTAAGTATGACTTTGTTCTGCGCTCCACAGCAATGACTTTTGGGACATCTTGACATTTTCAGTGATCCTCTGTGTATTCAGGAAGCAAGTCACACTGCAAGCTCCAGAATGAGCAACAGTCTCATCAGCCCTCATTAGGCCGTGACGTTAAAGGTCATACACACTGGGAAAGCTTGTTATGCGGCACCCAGCATGCAGTTCACATACACAGCATCAAAGGGATTTATTAGGTATGTCTTATGAGGGAGTTTTTCATCATTGCCATTAAACAACTCTGCAATTACTTTGGAACTAGAGTACGCTGTACCATTGTGATATTTGAGACAATGCTATGATTTACTTTAAATGGCTGTCCTGGTTAATTATAAACAAGTAGAGCATACCCAATGGAAAACATGAGATTGTTTGAAAGCAAAAAGATAAATAAATAAATCTCTGCAGACGGGCTCTGTGGACAACTCACAACCCACTGAGGGAAAAGCTTCATTGCTCATATGTTTAATGAGCTTTTATTGTGAAATCAGCTGCTACAAAGTTTAGAGGACTTTGAAACTTTTTTTTAACTTCAGGCATCATCATCATCATCATCATCATCATCATCACATTCAAGGACAAATGTGTCTTTAAAATATTAAGAGCATTTTCATTTCTCTGCTTTCCTCCAAAAAAATCCACATTTCCATATTCTGTAACTCAGCTGAA